TTTTATTTTAATTTAATGATTAAATGAATCGTATATCATCACTAAGACCATGAAAGAGACAAGAGAGCTGTTAGAGGGATGACAGAACCGTAAGAGAGCAAGAAAATTGTGACAGAGATAAGAAAGTCGTGGAAAAGACGAGAAACTCGTGAGAGAGACAAGAGAGCTGTGAGAGAAATGAGGGTACCGAGAAAAAAACAAGAAACTTGTTAGAAAGACGAGAGTCTTGAAAGAGAGGTAAAAGCCGTAAAAAAGACGAGAAAGTCGGGAGAGAGATGAGAGTTCTAAAAAAGAGATGAGAAAGCAGAGAAACAGACGAGAAAGATGTGAGGAATTCGAGAGAGCCGTGAGAAAGATAAGAAAACTGTAGAAGAGACAAGAGAGTTGTGAGAGGGGCGAGAGTACTGAAAAAGAGACGTTAGAATTGTTAAAGAATCGAGAGAGTCATGAGAGAGATGAGGGTTCTGAAAAAGAGACGAGAAAATTGTTAAAGAGAGAGCTGTAAAAGAGACAAGAGAAAGACGAGAGTGAGGCGAGACCTAGAAGACATTTAATTCTTCGACGGCGACTACATAGACATTTACTTCCTTGACGGCAAAGATCTAAACAATACGTAGACACTTAGTTCCTCGACGGTAAACCCGTAGATACACATTTTCTCGACGGCGACCACGTAGACATTCTCTTCCTCGACGACGACCACGTAGATATTCACTTCCTCGATGGCGAAGACCTACATGACACGTAGACACTTAGTTCGTCGACAGCGAATACGTAGACACTCACTTCCTCGACAGCAAAGGCCTAAACAACTCTTAGACATTTACTTCATCGACGGCGAAGACCTAGACATCATCCGACACCTAGTTCCTCAACGGCAAGCACGTAAACACTCACTTCATCGACGGTGACTGTGTAGACATTCACTTCCTCGACCGCGAAGATCTAGATGACACTTAGACATTTAATTCCTCGAAGACAAACACGTAGACACTCACTTCCTCGACGACGACCACAGAGAGTTGTGAGTGAGACGAGAGTGTAGAGAAACAGACGAGAAAACCGTGAGAGAAACGAGAAAACCAAGAGAGAGACGTGGGACAAGATTGAAAAAAGGGACAAGATTGAAATTTTGCAAAGAAAAAGACGACGACGATGATATAGCAGACCAAAGAGACCATACAACATTAGAAATTTTAAGAAAATTTAACGAAGAAAAGAACGGCGAACAACAAAGGCGACAAAATTAGTAAATTATAGTCGAAAAGGGGGACAAGATTTAAATTTTAGCGAAGAAGAAGACGACGACGATGATATAGCAGACCAAAGAGACCATACAACATTGAAATTTTACGAAAATTTAGCGAAGAAAAAAACGGCGACAACAAAGGCGGCAAAATTATAAATTATAGATGTTGAGTAGCGGAGGGTGCTACCTTCCACGAGAGCCCCCCGGGAGAATGCTTCGGAGGAACGTGGACGAAGAAAATGAATACTTTCTTCTGAACTGTGTATTTATTTGCACTCAACGGCCGGTCGTACGGCTTTCTTGCACAGAACAACGTCTTTACAGTATCGCGCGTATGCGTACGATAGCTAGTACGCGTATCTGGATGAGACGGCGAATATATTTCGCGCTCGGATGGATAACGTGTCGCACGTGGCTGATATCGCGATCACGATCGATCCTGTTCTGGCGGAATCAATGGCGATGCCGGCAGCGCCGCATGCGCGAAGGGGGGCCGACGGGGCCCGAAATTAGCCAAATACAATGGCGTGGACGCCTCACGGAAAATTTCTACGCCGGAGCGAGCAAGTCCCTTCACGAGAAGGATATTAACGAGACGCGGTCAAAAAGCGTATCGAACACGCTGTCCCCCTTGAAAGGAACAACTTTCAATATGTTGCATGAAAAGGAACAACCTTCAATATGTCGTATACGGCTACAATAACATAAGTAAATAATATTGCTCAAACAGTGTAGCGCTGTCGAAGGATGAGCTCAAAAGGGATCTTGGAGCTAACAATCGTAAAAATAAAAAATACGTCGTTGACATGCTTTGACAAAACTTATAACTAATTACGCGCTTTTATAAATACGGAGAATATGACTTATCTTAATAATGCTGAGGGAATATGATACCTTAATATTAAATGAATACATATATCGCGACGCAACTTACAATTAGTATCAAATGAATATACGTTTATCTTAAACTTCTAAGGGCAGTATCGCCAATTTCGATAGTGGTCTTACAAAAATACCTTTCGCAGTCTTGACAGTGGCAGTTCTCGCGACCTTATCAGAGCCGGGATGGATATCCTGGACGCGCCCTAAAGTCCATTGCAACGGTGCTAGGTTTTGCTGTTTTATTAACACCATTTGATT